TATATCTGAGGATATTTATATGGACGCTTGTAAATTGGATCCTCATGTTTTGTTAGAATTTTGTGTTTGATTGTACTAGTGAAAGTCAAATTGTCACCTACATGGTACTGGATATCACGAAATTCATGTAAAACTTTTTTATTTTTTTATGTTTCTTCTGAGTTTAGGTGCTCTAGCCTAAACTCATAGTTTTCTATTAATTTGTAATTAATAGCGAAGTTAAATGGTCTTTCCTCTGTTCAGGGTGGATCAAGGCACTCTTGTGCGGTCATGTCCTCTTCGACCTCTTCGTCATTATATCTAAAACAAAAGTTAAATTCTCCTAATGTTACGGATCCTTGACATGCTTCAAGGTATTCTCTCCCAATCAGAACATCAAATTGCTCTGAGAAGTCGTGAATATAACATTTTTGTTCACTCGGACAAATTTTGCTTGCTCCTAATCGTATGCTTTGTTTTAATTCGATAACACCATTTATGGTGTGAACCTTTAATGGAAACAGCTGCCCGTCATACCATGCTAGATGACCTTACAGGGCCACAGTTAGTTTGACTGTAGCAGGTCGCCCAATAGAGCACGAATTCCTACTGGTAGAAGGCAATACGCCCAGTCTTCTGTGCATCGATTTTTTGCTATGTTACCAGGCCACAGTGGACTTAAAAGCACTCCACCTCAATTTAGCCTGGGGTTGGGCGTCACTGCATATGCCCAATTCAGCACCGCCCAACTGTTGTACTCAAAGATCTCTGCTAGTGTGCCGCCATACAGCGACACGCACCTGCTTGTGGACGGTTCGTCGTCGGATCAGCTACCCTCACTCACAGCTGCCTGACGATCTTGTTTTGGGAAGCTCGCTCGTGGACACCAGAAGTGGCTTCGCCATTCTGCGCGTGTTAAGCTTGGGCGCTCAGGAGCGCAATCGATCGGCGTACGCAATCTTGGGTCACCTTGAAGATCAGTCCTTTCTATACCAGCGGAGAGCCCTTTGGTCATACCACCACAAATCAATTGGAATTAATGCCAAATGGACGTGCGGGCCTATGTTCCTACTACCGCAAATGTATCTCAGACTTTGCCACGATCGTCTGTTGCATGAGCTCACTGAAGCCCACCGTATTTTCGCTTGGCCGCGGTCGCCCTTAGTCAGAACCAGGGAGAGCAAGAATGCGTTTTGGAATATTACAGTAGGACAGTAAGACAACTCAACGTGCATTCCATTCCGGATGCTCATCCTGTTCTTTGGATTTATCACATCCTGGAGCGGTTGCGTCACGCTCAGTTCATCTCCACTCTGGATTTGAAGCACGGGTAGTGGCAGATAACGATGGCAATGCTAATGTACGGCGTTCACAGTCCCTGGAAGAGGTCTTTTCCAATGGCGGGTGATGCTATTTGGCTTCCATTCGGTGTGAGCGACGTTTCAGCGAGCCTTGGACACGCTAATAGGGCCGGAGATGAAGCTTCATGCGTTCGCCTACCTAGACGATATCGTGGTAATATTGGCAACGAACGAACAGCACGTACAGAATTTAAGGGAGGTATTCCGCCGTTTGATACACCTGGGACATGTCATTTGTGTGGAAGGAATACGCACCGATCCAGAGAAGGTGGAGGTGATATGTAACCTGAGGGCCCCGACAAATTGTAAGCAATTGCGGCAGTGTCTCGGGTTGGCGTCATGGTAAAGGCGCTTCGTTTCTAACTTCGCTACTCAAGTACAGCTGCTCACAGCACTCTTAAAGAAGGGGCGTGGGGGCTTGTCCGGACTTATCCGCCAAATTCATTTCGCAGACTGACGCGAGTGAGTATGGCCTTGGCGCAGTGCTGACGCAGACAACAGATGGACAGGAGCGGGTGATCGCGTACACTAGCCGGAAGATACTGATAGCTTAGGTGAACTATTCCGCTACCGAGAAAAATGGTCTTACCAGGCGAACGAAGGAAGAGGGTGGCCAATGTCTCGCAGCTGAAACCGTTTTAGACAACTTGGAATATTATCCATCGACCCAGAAGAGTAAGAAGATTTTAAAGAGTATATAGCTAATAGGAGAGAGCAGTGTCAAATAATGGGAGGAGGTATAGAACTAGCGGAAGAAATAGTATAAGGGTAAGATTTAGTATTAGGACAGACTGAAGAGTAAGTTGATTGGAAAAAGTAAGCAAAGAGGTTAGCAGAATCAGTGTCCAGCCAGCTTTACCCATCCGAAGAGAAAAAGAAGATGGCAAACATGAGGATTTACGCTTCAAGTTTACAAAATTATAAAGCTGTCTCGGATTTTGGGCAAATTGCCTTTTACAACGAGTTAGATAATTCTCATAGCACTGATAATTAAGAAGAAAGAGGTTCGCTTTGGCTATGGAATATTCAGCCAAGTCTGTACACGAACCAGACTTTTTAAACTTTTTAAAATATTTAGATTTTACATTTTTTGATGTGATAATCTGGGAGTAAACTAGGGTGGTTTTGAAAGAGTAGTCGAAGGAATTGACCCAGGAATACACACATCTAAGAGGCAGTTTAGGATGATATAAAAAAATTAATGGTAGAATTCATATCAACCGAGTCATATAAGAAAGACCAATCGGTTGCATAAATAAGCTGATTCACCAAAGAATAATTTCCTTTGCGAAAGCAACGGCGAGGCTTATTGGCAACTAAATAGCATTAAATGAGAGGATTACGATTGAACAAAGCAAACTCTAAAGTAGGAAATACATCCTCAGGAAGAGATAGAGGAGGGGACCTAGGCACAAAAGCAATAAACTAGTCGTTAACAAATGTTCTACTCATATCAGCATAAATAAACTGATTCAGCAAAGAATAATTTCCTTTGCGAAAGCAACAGCGGGGCTTATTGGCTGATGAGCACGAAATGAAAGGATTACAATTGAGCATTGCAATCTCTCAAGTAGGATGATAGAAGAGATAAAGGAGGGGACCTAGACACATTGGAAATAAGGTAGTCGTTAACAAATACAAGGTCAAGTGTTCTATTCAAATGATTGGAAATTGAATTGATTTGAAACAACGAAAGATCAAGCATGCAGTCTATAAAATCATGCTGTGCTGAGGGTACTAGATAACTTTCAGCAGTTAATAAAGAGCAAAAGATGTTAGGTAAATTAAAATCCCCTAACACCGGAAAGTTTGAAGAAACTTCGTTAATACATGTAATATGTTTCATATAAACTTGAATATCAAAAGACGGAGCAACATAAGAGCATGTAATATTGATATTCCGTGTAGAAAAAGACACCTGATCTGAGACAATCTCAGCGTCAGCAGGCGTACTAAAAAAATAGATTTCTGACTGGAGTGGCATTAATGACAATTAATACCCCAACACCTCGAGTCAGCCGATCATTTCTATGCAAAATATAATTGTTTTAAAAAACTTCGTAATCAGATATGAATTCAACCATGTTTCTGAAAATGCGATTATATCCGAATCGAAGGAAGAGGAGCTGGTCATAAAATGATTTTTAAGCTTGGAAATGAGACCTCTGACATTTTGGGAATGAATGGAGACTTGGTCGGAAGACGAAGTTAGAAGAAGGTTGAAAAAGTACCCTGTATTGAAACGACTGGAAGGGTGACAGGCAAGTTTCGCTTTCTTGGCTTGAACTCGTGAACAATCATTGTGGAGGTCAAAATATATATTTCACGAGAAGTGGTAAATATAGGCTACCAATGACTCAGAAGTGGTGTCAGACGAAAGTCGAGACACAAAAACTTGCCTTCGAGGGGCAACAACGTGTAAGGTAGAAGCTGATGGGGCTACAGGTAAAAGTGGATTGCTGGATTTGGTGGGCCAAAGAGGCACCATGATTGTGTTTAACAATCTGGGCTAGATTGCACGCAGGTCTACCTCTGCATACAGGAGCTGACGGGGCTGAGGCGGTTTGGCTAACTGGGACAGGTTCAGGTAGGGGGTCTAATAGGACTACTACAGGGGATAAATCAGGGGTAATAATAGGGCAGTCGCTCGGAGAAGGCGATAAAGATAAAATTGGAGATAAATCCAAGTTGCTAGGCTGGGACAAAAGAGGAGTAGGTGTCTGGACAGACGGAGAGGGCAACTGCAAAAATTCAGGCTCCAACCGACGATTGGTTGGAGACTCCAACTTGTATTTGCTAAGCAACTAAAAACTCGAGTCAAAATTACTCGATAGCCACGTTATTCAGTTTTAAAAAATTGATTTCTCACAGAATTATGCATTCTGGAGAAATCAATTTGCTTGTCGATGCATTCTGGGCACGACCAACGCAAGCCGCCGCAGCCCTTCTTGGCAATTGCAGCGATATTGTCACAGTCACGACCAGTGAGACCTGCACATTTAGCATGCATCATATTCTCACACAGACCTGCTCATGACAACGCTTGTATATGATATGTTAAATATGCTGTTGAATATTCTAATATATGCTTAACGATATACTATAGGTGATCCACACAGCTAAAATTTAGTATCCAGCTTACGGCGATAATGACAATTTAAACTATTCAACTTCCCGTGCCACCTATAGTCTATTGAATATATGTTGGTGCTACTAAAAAGAACCACATTTTAAAATGGACTAATTGCCAGGCACATTTTTAAAATTATAATTTTAAAATGTTTGAATATAAAATTTGGCTTGTTTTTTTATTTTTGTATGCGAGCCGGTCAATGCATGCGTTATGATGACTGAATTTACCGCATGAATGGACCAGTTCGCATACATAAATAATAAACAAAAGCAAATTTTATATGCAAAAATTTTAAAAATATAATTTTAGAAATTGTTTTTATTTTGAAATCCTTTTCGAAAAAGGTGTAATTAAGAATCAGTTGTTTTTCTTATAGCTGTTCGTGTATGCAAGGGAAATTTATTATGAGAAGAATTGTTTTATTAATCTGTTTAGGGTAATTACATTTTTAATTTATAGCTCTCCCTACCCTTTTGATATGAATAGTAAGTAGTATATACATTAAAAGATAAAAATATTGTTTTTAGCGCGACGATCGACAGCGTCCTGAGGATCAAGTACTTATGCGGGCATTGCGTGATTTTAATATTCCGAAGATTGTAACAGATGACCTTCCGGTATTTATGGGTCTTATAGGCGACTTATTTCCAGCATTAGATGTACCACGAAAACGCAACTATGAATTTGAGGCAGTTATTAAGCGATCGGCGATTGACTTAAAACTCCAACCAGAGGATGGGTTCATTTTAAAGATAGTTCAACTTGAAGAATTGTTTGCAGTGCGCCATTCTGTATTCATAATTGGATTCGCAGGAACTGGAAAATCCGAGGTTTGGAAAACGCTAAACAAGACATATCATAATCAGAAGAGGAAGCCGCATTACAATGATCTTAATCCAAAGGCAGTGACAAATGATGAGTTGTTTGGAATTGTCAATCCAGCAACCCGCGAATGGAAGGATGGCTTGTTCTCAATTTTAATGCGTGATCAAGCTAATTTGGGTGGTACCGGTCCAAAGTGGATTGTCCTGGATGGTGACATTGATCCTATGTGGATTGAAAGCCTTAACACTGTGATGGATGATAACAAGGTCCTAACTTTGGCTAGCAATGAGCGAATTGCGCTAACCAAAGAGATGCGCTTACTTTTTGAGATTGCATCGCTGCGAACGGCAACCCCAGCTACAGTATCACGGGCTGGAATTCTTTATATAAATCCACAGGACTTGGGATGGACACCCTTTATTCAATCTTGGCTGGGTACACGAAACAACGCCAGTGAAGTAGCTACTCTTAACGTTTTATTTGATAAATACATACCACCACTTCTTGATTTGTTCAGAAGCCGACTTAAAAGCATCACTCCCATTTCTGATATTGCACGGTTACAAATGACTTGCTTCTTATTAGACAGTATGCTCACCCCACAAAATGTACCGCATGACTGCCCTAAAGATTGGTATGAGATATACTTTGTTTTTAGTGTTATTTGGGGTTTTGGATCACCGCTTTTTCAAGATCAAATTATCGATTGGCGCAATGAGTTCAGCAAATGGTTTCAAAACGAATATAGAGCCGTTAAGTTTCCATCATCAGGCAATATATTTTCCTTCTATATTCATAATGAAAGCAAAAAGTTTCTACCATGGACTAATCTGGTACCGGACTTTGAGCTAGATCCTGATCTTCCGCTGCAATCAAATTTGGTAAATTCGGCGGAGACAACCCGGCTTCGCTTTTTTATGGATACTTTAATCGAAGCAGATCATCCTTTAATGCTTATTGGGCCCTCTGGATCAGGCAAGACAATATTGATGAATGCTAAATTAAGCACTCTACCCACAGACAAATTTGCTGTAACCAATGTCCCCTTCAACTTTTATACTACATCAGAAATGTTGCAGCGAATACTAGAAAAGCCACTTGAAAAAAAGGCAGGTCGCAATTATGGCCCTATAGGAAACAAAAAAATGATATACTTTGTTGATGATATGAATATGCCTGAGGTCGATAAGTATTTTACAGTTCAACCACATACTTTAATCAGGCAGTTCATGGACTATCACCATTGGTATGATCGGATTAAAATGACATTGAAAGATATACATAAATGCAATATTGTGGCATGCATGAATCCTTCAGCAGGTTCCTTTACTATTAATCCAAGATTACAAAGACACTTTTGTTCTTTTGCAGTTAAGTAAGTCTTGTATATATTATAAGTAACAACAAATACAGTAATGACGTACGTTTTTCTTTCACAGTCAACCCAGCCAGGACGCATTATTTCACATTCTAAACTCAATACTTTCTCAGCATTTGGAAAATCCACAACATAAGTTTGATAAGAACATCATTAAAGAGTGTACAGCACTTGTCAATACAGCAATTGCCTTACATTTAAAGGTGGTCGGCTCGTTTCTTCCCACAGCAATGAAGTTTCACTACAACTTTAATTTACGGGACCTTGCCAACATATTTACGGTAAGTTACAGAATTTTTATCGGACTAATCTAATAAATCTCTCCTAGGGTGTTCTATATGCTAATAACGAAACATGCCCCACTTTTAATCAACTGATTCGATTGTGGGTTCACGAATGTTTCCGTGTATATGGTGATAAGCTGGTCGACCAAACCGACATAGGAAACTTTAAGAAAATTGTTGTTGAGGTAGTACGAAAAGGAATTGAAGGTGTAAGCGAAGACATTATTTATGCGCAGCCTCATATATATTGTCACTTTGCGAAAGGACTTTCAGATATTAAATATATGCCTATACAAAATTGGGACCGTCTGAAAGTATTGTTGGAGGAAGCTCAGCTGCGCTACAATGACTATGTAGGTGCCATGAACTTGGTTCTTTTTGATGACGCCATGTCACATGTGTGCAGGATAAGTCGAATACTAGAATCTTCCAGAGGATATGCCCTACTCATTGGAGTTGGCGGTTCAGGAAAACAATCTCTTACTCGCCTAGCGGCTTTTATATCTTCTCTGGACGTTTTTCAGATTCAGCTAACAAAAGATTATAGTGTGAATGATTTAAAAACTAATATTGCTGTATTGTATTCAAAAGCAGGAGTCAAGAGCACAGCATGTTGCTTTCTAATGACTGATTCTGAGGTGGCACGTGAACAGTTTTTAGTTCTAGTTAACGATCTTCTCGCATCTGGTGATATTCATGAACTTTTTCCCGATGACGAAATGGAAAACGTGATTGGAGCTGTGCGTAATGAAGTCAAACAACTTGGTATTATTGACAGTCGCGAGAACTGCTGGAAATATTTTATTGAGAAAGTGCGCAGTCTTCTCAAGGTTGTGCTATGTTTTTCACCTGTAGGTGCCACTCTTCGTGTACGTTCTAGAAAATTTCCTGCCCTTGTTAACTGTACTACAATAGATTGGTTTCATGAGTGGCCACAGCAGGCACTTGAGTCTGTATCAATGCGTTTTCTCTCAGAGATTACAGTTCTGCCAATAGAATTGGCGCCTCCTGTATCGAAGTTCATGGCATATGTACATAAGACTGTAAACGATATTTCAGAGCTCTACCTAGCAAATGCAAAACGGTACAACTATACCACGCCAAAATCATTTCTTGAGCTCATTTCTCTATACTCTAAGCTGTTATATGAAAAAGTCAATGCCAATTTAGAACGTCGTTCTCGCTTAGAAAATGGCTTAATTAAACTGGCTAGTTGCACGAAAGAAGTAGATGCACTTCAGGATGTTCTCAAATTGCAAGAAGTTGAGCTGAAAGTTAAAAATCAGGAGGCGGATAATCTTATTGTCGTCGTAAGCACAGAGAATGAAAAGGTGTCAAAGGAACGAGCTTATGCTACTAAGGAGGAAAAGAATGTTCGTCAGATTGAGGAAGACGTTGGCGCAAAAGCCAAACTATGTGAGGAAGATTTTCGTAAGGCTCAACCAGCTCTTCTTGCTGCCCAGGAAGCGCTAAATACCCTAAATAAGAATAACCTAACGGAGCTTAAGTCCTTTGGATCACCACCGGATGCTGTCGTTAGTGTATGTGGAGCTGTATTAGTACTATTTTCTGTCAATGGAAAAATACCCAAGGACCGAAGCTGGAAAGCATCCCGTGGTATGATGGGAAATGTTGACAAATTCCTCGACAATTTAATCAACTACGATAAAAAACATATTCACCCAGATGTTATAAAGGCATTACAACCTTATATTCTAGATCCTGAATTCAATCCAGAAAAAATAATATCCAAGTCATCTGCAGCAGCTGGTTTGTGCTCTTGGGTTATCAATATAAACCGATTCTATGATGTTTATCTTGTGGTCGAACCCAAAGAACGTGCTCTAGTTGAAGCTGAAAAGGAATTAAACGATGCCAGAGATAAGCTTACAGCCTTAAATCAACGACTCAATGAGCTTGAGCAAGAGTTGAATATTCTACAAATGAAATTCGATGAAGCGATGGCAAAGAAACAAAAGTGTCAAGATGAAGCAGATAAAACTGCGTTTACAATCGATATAGCAAACCGGTTAATTGGTGGGCTAGCCACAGAGAAGGTTCGCTGGACAGAGTCTGTGAAAAGGTGAGAAATATTGGTCTTAGTTAATATATGAAATAATAAATATTCCCCTTTTTTCGAATAGTATAACATTGGGTATAAGACAACTACCTGGAGACATACTTCTTATATCGTGCTTTATTTCCTATGTAGGTTGTTTTACTCGTGCCTATCGAACAGAATTGCAACAGAAAATGTGGATGCCAACTTTTCAGAATATACAGGTAAAATAAAAAAATGTTGAACGATTTTTCCATATAAGATCCTACTATTCCACTGATCTTCAATATAGATATTCACTGTTGATAAGTTTTTGCATATACATATACACGTACATACATGTAGCAATAATAAAAATAATGTAACAAAAAAAACATTGCTTCAGACCGCACTGCTTGCTACCACTTCTACTCAATAGCCACACCAATAATTGAGTTCTTAAGATAACGAGAAAGAATGGCTCTCTTCGGCACGATCTTATACCCTTGCAGACCCAACCTTTACATAATGCTCATATAATGCAGTTAAAATAGTTAATGCCGAGTCTGATCAAGATATCTTGATAACCAATATTTTAAAAAATGGATTAAAGTAAGAGCACAGAAAACAATACAATCGCGCTAGCTGCCGCAAGCACGAGGCCGGCCAAAACTCGTTTTCTATAGAAACTTTCAACAGTAGATCTACATACCTACGGATGGACAGACGGCCAGACGGAAGGACAGACAGACGAACATGTCAATTTAATGCTGATCAAGAATTAATATACTTTATGGGGTGTGAGATGCATTCTTCTTCCTGATACACGTACAGTTGTACAAATGTACAATCTTTTACCCATTGGCTATAATATAACATGGTGTGTGTAAAGCCGCTTTGCTTTATAGTGTTCAGATTCAGATTCTTCGATTTATCCATCCAAGCCGTATCATGTGCAATCGGCAAGCTTTCATCCCAAGCTTGAGTCGCGAAGTTGGGAACGAAGCGCATGTACCATGACGGCATCCCGAGACTGCCGCAACTCCTTACAATTTGTCGGGGCCCTCAGGTTAGGAATCGCCTCCTCCCGCTCTAAAACTGCGGAATACCTCCGTGCTTCAAATCCAGAGTGGAGATGAATCGGGAGTGACGCAACCGCTCAAGGATGTGATTTGTCCGATGAACAGAATAAACATCTGGGATGGAATGTCCGTTGAGTTGCCTGTAGTCGATGCACATGCGCCACTCGCTAGTCTTCTTTTTGACTAAGACGATTAGGGCGCTGTGCGGACTACGCGACGGCTCGATGGCACCTGCCATCCACCATTATCCACCTGTTCGTCAAACACTCTCTGCATGGCCGGATTCTTCGGATAATACCTTTGCTTCAGCGGCTTGTCGTCCCTTAGCCGGATCCTGTGCTCCGCCATGTGCGAGACCCTTTGCAGCCCCTCAAAGAGTGCCAGTTCCAACTCCAGGAACCCCCTAAGTTCCGGATCTAGATCCGCTGGCTACCTTTCCTCTTCGATGGTGAGCTCGCTCTGCGTCTCGCCTCTTTCCGGCACCGCTCCGACCCCAGATAGAGCTCCATGATCGGTCTACTCTGGCAGTCGCTACTGGTCCCCTGTGTCCGTGTGGATCTTAACCATTGCTCCTAATGGCTCCGTTCGCTGGCACATTTCCGCCGTGCCACCTTCATGAACAGCGTAGATCGGGCTTTGCAAGCCCTCGGTCCAATCCCGAGGGAGGCCCCTTCTTTGCTTTCCCTTGCGTGTCTTTCCCCGTTGGTTGCCGGGCAAGCACTCCCGTTCCCTGATGCTTGAAGCCTTCTTTCGACTTCTCTCCACTTGTAATGCTGTCCTTCCCCATTCTGTGCTAACCGTACCCATGGCCACCTGACTCCCTGACTTGCTTTCCGAGAACTCCGCCCTCTGCCTCATAACTGTCTTATTCCCCATGGCTGGGTTAGCTGGACAGGGTAATCGGGAGCGGCGTTTTGGTAGATCCGGTGCAACTCCTATGGCGGTTTATTTTTGGCATGATGACATAGAGCTCTCAGTTCTATCATGTATTCTGTGGATTCCTCCCCCACGCGTTGCTTGCGGGACCGGATATCGTCCCCAAGCAAAGGCTACTTTGAAAGAGTAGCGTGGAGGCAGGAAGAACTCCAAAAAACCCCTCCTAAACACTGACAATGGCACACTCCTAAGCCTAATATGCAAGAACCACCGAGTGTCCCTGTCGCAGAACACCTGCCCGAGGCGATCGATCAAGGGCAATACCATTCGTGATGGTGTGCTCCTCTAGGTCCCCTAGGAACTTAAGGGGGTCGGAGCGGCCTTCAAACCTCAAACCTTTGCAAGCCGCGCTACCTCCGACTGAAGATGTGGCCTAGTATTGTAGGGAACACTAACGGGATCGGCAGGGTTGCGCCCTATCTCTACGTTTATCGTGGTTGCTCAGCAGTCTTCATTGACCGCTAGAATGTCATCGTCACATTCGGCTATGGTTTCATCTTGCAGCTGTAGTGTGACGTGTTGGTGTGCCACCGGGAAGATGGTGCAGATGAGCTTGACCCTAGGATACGCTATTAATATATGGACAATGTTCTCGGAGTGGTGAACAAACGTAAACTTATAATTATTATTCATTTTCCGATAAGTATTTAAAAAAAAAAGAGCAAAGCGAACACATCTTTTCATTTTCTCCCATGTGATTAGTGATTTAATGTTGCCAAATGAGTATAATGTCAACATTATACTCGCCTGCTTAATTTAACTGATTATAAATTCGACCACTCCTAGTTCTATTACCGACTCCTACATTAATTTTACTATGCTCTTATATATAAGTTTTTTGATTTCTCAATTGTGGCTGTTTATGTTTTATATTCAGATCCTCGTCACAGGTGCAGATTGGTAAGGTGCAGATTGGTAAGGTTACATTCCTTGTAGATTATGTTCGGAAAGCAACTAGCTTTCCAAAGCAGTGGCCTTGTGGCTCAGCAATGAAACAATTGACGGCAAGTGCCGGAACAGTATATTTCAAGAAGTTGTTTTTACAAAGTTGGATACAAAACTAAACTAGAATTGAAAAATTAAATTGGATCTAAGCTCAAAGGCTAGGCGCATAAGTCTCAGCTGCTATATCCGGCAAGCCGAATCAGCAAACAATTTATTTATTTCTTTTATTTATTAATGGTCGACAAAACGAGTGTCTTCCTCCTTATTCAATGATTATACTATGGATAATGGAATTATATGCTAAAAGCCTAGTAAAAGAACACAATTTTTTAAGTAGCATCACCGACCGACGGAGGTGTTTTATTTGCCAGTCAGGCCAGTTGTGCCCCTTTTCACAGCTAATTTTGTCAGTGACGATATTAGAGCCTAAATCTAAGCAGAACATATAGGAAAGATAGATCGAAAACTAAGTTTTTACATGAAAAACAAGAATTGTTTATCAAGATATCTTGATCAAACGCGGCATTTATTAGTTTTACTTTACTCCTCATTTATATGCAAAATCATATTAAGATCAGACCACTATATCATATAGCTGCCATAGAAACGATCGGTCGAAAATTAAGTTGTTGTATGAGAGAACATTTTGTTTATCAAGATATCTTGACCAAACTCGGCATAAGTTAGTTTTACTATACTCCTCATATATAGGCAAACTCCTATTAAGATCCGACTGCCATAGGAACGATCGGTTCCTGTTGTATGAAAAATACACGGGGCCCTATAAGGTGGAAAGTATAGAAGAATGAGATAACAATAATCTCGGATAAAAGAATTAAGAAACAAACAGTTCACAAGGATAGATTAAAATTGTTCTATTCATAATAAATTTCAATAAATATACTACAAGGCATAAGCAAATATATATATAAGCACAAAAATAGAATTAAAAACTAAGTAAAAAAGTTTATTTTATTATTATACACACAAAAAAACCTAAATAAACACAAAAAAAAAAGAAAACTTTTTCATTGACGAAAACAAAAAAGAAATACCTAATACATTTTAAGTGCAACGAAATTTGAGCGCGTCAACTTGTTCATATTGATGCTCAGCGAAGAGTGAGGCTAAACGGTAAAAGCAATTCAGTATCAACACAGAAAATAACAAAAGCCTACTTTGTCAGTGTAACTTTTGTATGAATAAGTGTGTTTGTGTATTTCAACACTCACTATTCTAACACACCTCCTGAAAAGATACCATGACCTTTTAAATTATAATTGTAAATGTTACAATACAGTTTCTTCTAAAAAAAGTTGTGCCTTCTGGGAACAACATTAATGATATTTGTTCAGAAATAGTTCTTTTCAAAAACTAGTTCTAGGATTAAGGGAAACCCAGAAAAACCTTAATCGGATCATGGCTTAATAAAAATTATACAAAACAGGCAACGGCTCTGTGGAAATATGTTAAAGGGTGATTAGTTTATTTTCGATCTGCTGTGGTAAGTGGGATAATTGGCTATACAAATGCAACCTTTATTATCTTCTACTATTCTGATTGGCCCACTTAATTCGAATTTTATACTAAATGATTTAAGCCATTGACATTTTCTCTAACTGCTTCAAACAAAGCCATATATTCTGCTTCAGTAGATGGAGCAGCCACTGAGTTCTGTTTCGTTTTATTCCAACATATCAGGCATGCCCCAAATATTATAAATATATTTTAAATATAATATATAGTTGTACTTTTTCTATCAGTTTCACTCCCAGCCCAATGAGAGTCAACATACAGTTTCTTTAAAATTCAAATTTCTAACGGGACGAGTATATAACATTAGATTTCTACATGGCGCATCACATTGAACCCACTAAAAAGTGGTGTACTAGCTGAGTTACAATCCACCATGTTAAACTTCTTTAGAATAATACTTATTTATGCTGACTGACTGATCATCACTTCTTTCTACTTTTATTTTGATGAAATGTGTCATTTCACATAAGTCTGTCATCCTAAATCTACTCATTAAATATGACTCAGCAATAACTAAATCATCTACGCAGAAAAGTACATATTTTTTATTATATCCCCTTTATCAAGAAGATAGATTCGATACCTTTTAAAGAATTTTTCGTGCTGCCTGCTTTAATTAAAAAATGGATTTATTTAGATTTCAGACTATCATGTGCATATAGATTTCCTCTTTTAAAATACAATTTAAAAATGCAGTTTCACACCCATTTAATTATTTATTAATGGTCGACAAAACGAGTGTCTTC